ACCTTATAGTTTTGTGTTGATTAATAAAGATGAGCACCCCGGTTCTGGAAAATATTTCAAAAATTTAAATCAATTATATATTCCACAGAAGTATTTTTCAGGCAACCGCTCTAGGTTATTCTCGGTTAAAGAGTGTAGTAAAATCCGGGTAAATGATCGTTAACCCATGATTCGGGAGTAATTGGTTAATTTTGTTGGATAAGATTCATGATCGTTACCCTGTTAAGCTGCTTTTGCAAATTCGGGGGTAATTGTTTGTAATAATATTGAAGGATCATAGGTAATTGGTTAATTTTGTTGGGTAAGATTTAGGGTAATTGTTCTTAATAATATTGAAGGATCAGGGGTAATTAGTTAACTTTGTTGGGCAAGATTTAAGGTAAATGGTTGTGGTAACCTATGATTTAAGCTGTTTATGGAAAATGGCACCATGCGCTCGTTATGCTCTCTACTAATATATCCGCAACCATTTCTGTCCTGACTCAAGTTAACTTCACTATCCTTTAACATGATTAGGAGTAAGAGCTTACACACGACTGTTCTCGCCCAGGCCTGCAGTTACTGGTTAAGTATTGTGTTTTATGGCTCATGCATAGCTGACGTCGCAAGTGCGTGATTCGCTAGCGGGTAATTAGGAAGAGGGTAGATGAGGAAGACTTCATGTATGTATCCAATAAAAGAAATTATCTTCCAACAAAGAAGTTATTAATGAAGACATATCCAAGATGGAATGACAGTAACGATTATTACCAGACAGAGATTCGAAATTAAACTATCAGTAATTTCTTCATATCAAGGCGCGGCAATCATACTGTATCTCATTCCAAACTTAGTTCTAACAATCTCAACGTTATTACGACGTTGAAACAACCATTATACATTAACATGATTCAGACGAAGTGACTTATACTGGGCATTAACTCCCAACAAACGTATGTTTGGAAATTGAAGTGAAGAATTGATTTGGAAATTGAACTTTGAGTCATCGTAGAGTTGTTGTATGATATTGATTCAACAACTAATTTATGCCGTTGAAATATTTTTAAAATTTGGACTATGTTTGCTTCTCAATTAATTTAAACCATGTTTTTTTCTCAAAACCTTAAATATATTCAGTCATAATTTACCAGACTCATTACCAGTATTATGCTGACAAAGGAATAATGGATTCATATAGTTCATTTCCTATTCAAAACCCTATTTTTCTATCAAACAGAATTGTCTTTTTACCAGGGTTTGAACCCACGTCACATTACTGACAGTACTGACAACTAAATACCTTCCACCAATCGACTGCTACGATGCCGTTACTACACCTGTCTCTTATACACATCTAGATGTGTATAAGAGACAGGATAAAGACTGTTATAAGAAAGCCTAAATTCAAGATTGGAGATCGNGTTTTTTACATTAAAGTTCATAGAAGTAAAATGGATGTGTTGACATTATTACATGCTGCCATATACCAATGTGTTCCTAGCGAGAACGACATACTACAATGCGTTCCTGGCGAGAATGACATATGACAATGTGTTCCTGGCGAGTAAAAGAACGACGTTGATTCAACATTGGTTGGACAACAACGTTACCAAAAATCTTAATCAGCATGATCTCAATGCCAGATATCTTCTACGTGAATATCCTAATATTACAGCTAGACAATATCAAAATGGCACACTTAAATCAACCGAAAAATTGAGGATCAGCTTGAAGCAAATTTGGAAGATTTGAGAAATCTACCGAATGATGGAACAAGTTAGCAAGTAATGGCTACGAGGACATTTATGGTGCTCCCATGCTCCCAAAATATAAGGTCTGTCTCCCATGACCGCGAGTGAGGTTAGGTTGAACGGGGTCAAGATAGTTCAAAATATAATATACTTGAATGTAGATCATATTATGGTAAGACATGTTTCTTCCGTTTCATATCAGCAGCTAGAATCCGTTTTCTCACCGATCCCCAGTAAGGCAGCCCCATGCCCATCGGTGATCCATCAATCCAGCGCCATTGCCCTTCCAGGCCTGAATCCGTAACACCGATCCAGCATCCAGTAGGACTGCAGTAGTCTGATAAACGAATTAGTTTTGTAATATCGGTGCAGCAGTTCGTATGTATGACAGGATGTGTGGTAGGCCGAAATATTCAAAACAATTATATAATTGTTATAATTATATAACATAATTATAATATAACATAATTATTATATAACATAATTATAACGGATATAATTAAAACAAATTTTAATTATATACGTTCACACATCAAGAAATAAAACCTAGTTCACTCATTAGATAGTTTGCCAGACCCTGTGAGGGAAATCACGGAGGATTCGTCTCATTTCATTTGTAGATACCTTTCAATTAAGTATAGGAAAGCGTTACTCAATATTATAACTCCAACTTTACAAATAAATTTCTTATTAGACCAAGTTGAAGTTAATCGTACAGATTGAAGTTAAACTACTAGTTAGGTTACGATAAGGGCAAAAATTCAAACTCTGGAGGGGTTGGTAATACCTTGTTCGGCGACGTAGAGGTACATCTTGTGCAACTGGTTGCAGTCATCTAGAATGATCAAATCTCCTCCGGCTAATCCACACTGAGTGCGAGAAGCGCTCCAACTGTACTCGGTCTGAATCACGTGCACGCATTGCGTGCCCACCAGGACAAAAGGATGGGTGCACATGCCTGACCGGAAATACGGTAAAAGTGTGTTGAAGAGGTTTACAAGGCTGCGGTAAAGAATACACTAATAATTAAATTAGGTATTGGGACTACGGTTTTTGTTCCAAAGCGTTTTTTCTGTCACACTTCAGAAGCATTTTTCAGTCACATTTTAAACCAATTTACATAAGAGGATGGGCAGTCTACATTTATTAAAAATCGTATATTGATAATATCAATGGTTATTGAGGGTAATCAGGGATTATCTAGGGGTTTGCTTCACTAATAACTTCCTACTTCAGCCGAAACAGCGACCACCAGCCTTGCCCTCTAGTCGCCGCACCACGTATTTAATGCGGTCATCTCGACCCCTAATCACTTGATCAGAAGACACAAACTCAATTGAAACAAAGTGAAATATCAACAAATAAGTGTTACGCCAAATATATTGTTGAAATTTAATAATTTATGCTAAAAAATACAAACCCCGACACGAGATGAACAATGTTATCAAGAGCAAACGCGAAACATAGTTGTCCTATTGTTAGTTCGGCTGGGGCTTTTCTGCAGATCAGCAAACGTTTACTTTTTATCTCTGATCGCACCTTGCTAAACATGTCCTCACCGTTCACAAGAGTTCCGGAGCACAAAGGAAAACCGGGGCTTGGGCAATCTGCATCGTGCATCCCCCAGCCTCCTTGGGTTAAGTGGTAGAGGTTCGCACAGTTCTGCTCCGTTCCGCCTTCGGGCTGTCTTCCTGCTCCCACATTCTGAGATAGGAAAATCGTTGTTTAATCATATCGCAATTGAATTAATCAATTTTGCAGCGAGCAGACAGTAGGGCATCTTAAGCTGCATAGAGCTCAAAATGCACTAGTGCTAAAATAGAAGATCACAAAGAATAAAAAACTTTTCAGGTCCAACGTAAGAAAATAAAATAGGAAGAACGAGGACTTTTATAATATGCGTTAAAAGAAATGGCCACACAACTTGAAAATTTTGATCGTAATAGTCATTTGCATGACATTCACAGGCTAAACTTATAAGCAGAGCGCATATAAATTAATTAAAGAAAAAAATATCGTCTGTGGTATTTCATAGTGATATTAAACCGAAATCAATTTGCATGAAGACCATGTTTGGAAATGATCCGTTAGAAGGACCTGTTTTTAAATCTCCTATGGACAAACCACGAAAAGTACATGAATCGGCGACAGGTTACATCAGGCCTATTCTATGCTATGCATAGGCCTGATGTAGATGAATTAGATCTCTATCTCACTGTTTTAATTTCATGTCCAAGGAATTTTTTTGCGCACAACCAACGACTTGAAGTCTTCCAGGTCACTGCCGCGTGACGGCCTGCGCTATTTTTGAGTATCAAACGACGTATCAAAGCCGAACATACGCCAAACAAACAAGTCCAACGTAAGAAAATAAAATAGGAAGAACGAGGACTTTTATATATGCGTTTAAAGTAATGACCACACGACTTGAAAATTTTGATCGTAATAGTTATTTGGATGACATTCACAGGCTAAACTTATGAGCAGTGCTCATATAAATTTATAAAAGAAAAAAACAATGTCGTCTGTGGCATTTCATAGTTAATATTAAACCGAAATCAATTTGCATGAAGCTCATGCTTGGAAAAGATCCGTTAGAAGGACCTGTTTTTAAATCTCCTATGGACAAATCACTAAAAGTACAAGAATCGGCGACAGGCTACACCAGGCCTATTCTTCAGCGCCGACTTCACTTATGCTATGCAGGGATTAATTAGATCTATATATCACTGTTTAATTTTATGTCCAAGGTATCTTACAGCTCACAGTACCAGAATGAAACTTTTTTCGCGCACAACCCACGACTTGAAGTCTTCCAGGTCACTGCCGCGTGACGGCCTACGCTATTTTTGAGTATCAAACGACGTACCAAAGTCGAAATAACTCCGAACAAACACCGAACATACGCCGAACAAACACTGAACATACGCCGAACATACGACTAATATACACCGAACATGCGGCGAACAGAAACCGAACGTACGCCTAACAAACGCCAATTATACACCGAACATACGCCGAACATATGAATATACGCCGAATATATGAATATATACGCCGGATGCTATGAATATTCACCGAACATTCGCCGAACATACGTTGAACATACGCCGAACAAACGCCGAACATACGCTGAACATACACCGAACATACGCTGAACATACAACGAACATACGCCGAACATACACCGAATTTACACACCTGGTCGCTAATTTGACTGATTTTGATTGAAAACTACGTCGTTAAATCTATAAAGAAACAGAACAGATTTTCGACTAGATCGCTTTCAAACAGCTGTTCTCACCTTGTATCCTTAGTTTCATCTTAATTCGTTGCATTTTATATCATGCTGCCCTACATTTATTGCAGTTTGTTCAATTATTTTTTGCAAGCATATCATATCATTCTGCCACGCTATATACAGTTATGCATAAGTAAGCCTTGGGTTCAAACTTTAGTAGTTTTTCCGTAAATATTTCTGTAATATTCGTTCTGTAAACACACGAAGTCACTAACGTTCGCCCAGAACGGAGCGCCCATTTGCACTGCCGAGCCGTCGCTCCACTGCCAGACGTGTGTGTCCGAAGAGTTGGTAGCACCCAACCAGTAGCCGTTGGTGGCGTCCGCTGAGTCTGAGTGAATGCATCTGTTAATTAAAGTGACTGGCTGTGTGTTGGTTGAAGCCCTTAATTGCACCTTGCTGACTTCGTCTGAATCAGTCGTATAGTAATTCTTTACCAACCTTAGGGCTCCTAAGATCAACCTATATAGTAATGCGATATGCGTCTTTATTCATCTCATAATGTCTTCTCTATTTCTCCAATCTATGCCACATATTATTTTTTCCTCAATTCTCCTTCATATGCTCTTAATAGTTTAGAAAGCAACATCTTCGCTGCACACAGAGTAAATTTGGGTTATGTATTTTGGTATAGTAGTGGCGGCATGACCCACTTTCAAATGCTAACCGCGACTAATTACCATGATACCGGCATCATGTCTGGAAAGGGTTTCTGGATCGATCTGTGGCCAGTATATACGCTATACCATAAGCACGATTAATAGTAGCAGCTAACATTTGAAAGTTATAATTGCCCACCACTACTGTCCTTGCAAACAATCACTTTAAATCAGTGCACGTGATAGCAACCATCAGTATCGGCAGTCGCTAGAAATATTAGTAGCAATCATCATTAGCGGCAGTATTGATGACAACGCTGCTGATATAGTCTTGAATACACGTCTGATTGAGTAGAAGAACGCATAGCTATGCCAGAAACTACTCACAAAGTATTCTAAATTCTAGCATTACGGGTGTTATTTCAGGCGAATAACTCTCTTCACTGAAACATATGGTAAGCAATTGTATGAGCGATGTACGACAAACACGCAGTTCTTTTAGATGACATTATTACGGAAATTCTACCATTTTTTATTCATGAGTTAATTTATTGTATTGTATATTTATATATATGACGTTTTAATCTCACATCCATCGTCGGCATATGTAGCGACATCAAGGAAGGAAGAGCAGTCGTGCAGCACCGGCAGCCTGCCGAAGTTATGGTGGCAGTAAGTGACCGCAGCGTCATACGAAAGATATCCTCCTTCAAACGGTGGATGCACGTTGATCCGACGACATCATAGCCAGCAGGACATTCGGCTGACACTGCGCCTATCGTGATGAAGATGCTTCGCTTGTATTTAAAAATTTTCATTCGCACACGAACGGTGATTATATAGAGTTGAATTTTATATTTTCGAAGAAATTAATATTAACGATAACAATTGAGAGTCGAAAAATCATTAGGTAAAATAAGACCCTGAAATTATCTCGCTCCACATATAAAATTTAAGTGAAGTCTTACCTCCAGTAAAAAATTGTGAATAGATGGGTAACTTTCTACTCGTAGGCTAAGCTTACACAATTTCAGTTGCAGTTAGGTTGAGTTTTGACTAAAATCAAAGAAAAATTACTAGAAATACCGCGTGTGTGAGCCGTACCAGATGGGCTGTGATTTCGATATGTTATCGCGCTCCTGAATTATATTATCGTCCACTGATAATGACCCATTATGTTGGTAACACTTAACTGACCAATGAGATTTCAGGATAAAATGAAAAACACTAACACGTACCAAATATTGATGCTCGTTGCCATATAGGTCACTAATCTTACTCATTTGTGATGTTTATTATCTTAAAACTGCTTTTATTACAGGCAGGTGGCGCATTTTGCTTATAGGTGAGTGCAGTTAACTTTAATTAATAGACGCCCTGTAACAACAGATTACTCTAATTTCATTTTAGGGACGCTCATTCCCAACGGGTACCGAACATTTCTCTGAAATGACGGTAGTTATACCCTGATACACGTATAACTTCTATTATTGTACTTCTTGCCTCTAGGTAGCACTTCTGTCTAAAGCTCTTACTAATTTCTGTTTGGGAACACTTACTACTTAAAAGATTGACACCAGTTCCGTCTATATATATAACACTTACTCATAACCAGCAGCAGCAGACTCATGATCTTGATCGGAATCATGTTGTTAAACTCGCTATCAAATAATCTATTTGTGAGTTACGTAAGTCACTCGGGTAGGTTGTTCTTGAAGCTACTTAATTTGCTCGGAGCAGCAGGCGGTGAAATGAACGGTTGTCTTGAGCGTATCTTGCAACAGCCAGGTGATGCGCTGTATTTATAACGTACAACTTATGTCTGTTGGTTCTCACGTATTCATTGTTGACATGGAAACTGTACAATGTACACCACTCCCATATCAAGAACATCATGTTACGTTATGCTCACGTCTTACCATGACGAAATTCCGCCCCGCAGCTGCGTGCGATTTTTGCAGTCACGTTTGATAAGTCTGAAGAATGTTGATATTTTTCTCACGAATTTAATGAGACTTATTTAAAAAACGGTGAGCCACTTTTAAGAAGACAATAATCCTTTTTGTATTACTAAAATATTGATAATATTGAAATGATATATTTATTCTGGTGATGACAACGGAATGCGGATAAAATAGCTCGTTTAAATTTACTTGATTTAATTATTTCAATTACTGTAGCCGTCCGTGTACTGCCCCTATCTACAGTGGAATAAACCAAGTAAAATCTTCGAAACACGTTGTAAACCGACTTTTCTGCTTAAAAATTCGTAAGATGACCTATTCTTCGAAGGAAAATTTACGTAAATTTTTCCAAGGTAAAGGCTTTTTCAAAATTAACTGATTTTTTAATTGGGTAATTCTCTATAAAACTTTCAGTCGGCTATTCTCCACGTCAGTTGCAAATCCTTAGGAGAACAGATCACGCTCATTAAATTACTTCTTTATTAAAATAAACTGCATTTAATTTGTACACTTTTGGACAAAATTATGATCTGGAAATGAAGTCTTCGGAGAAGAACCGCAACTTTAAACTCAACAACTCAACTCAATACACGAAACGCATAGGTCTCTGACAAATTTAAGGACCGAGTCGTGGCCGGTCTCACGGGAAATCTCCATATTCAGTGACCAAGGAATATCTCACAAACTAATGAACGCAGCTCGATGAAACTTGGTACATGTATTCATAAGAACCTAACGGAGTTGTGTATTTCATCAAAATGAAACCAATTAAACCGCCAGGGCTCTTCTTATCTTAATCCAATCAGGCCTCTTACGTACAATCCCTGTCAAAATTTTCGTGCCGATTAAGGTCGTTTTAGAGGAACTATATTCGGCTTAGGGGTGAATCAGGAGCAAGTCGGCCACGTAGGGTGTTTTGCTTCTATTTACCAGCCTCTTTTGGTAGTCAATTGCCCGGTAGGCCAAATCTGCGTAATATGCTTAAAAAGAGCAGCTGGTCAAGCTTCGTCATGATGCCCCTGGTCAAACGCNAACATTATATGATTTACAACAAGTTCCTAGAACATATCTATATGATTTTTCATCAAATGTTTTGTAAACGGCTTGAAATGACGGCAACATCATATATTTCCAGCTACTATAAAGTAGAGACGACATATGGCGGGAGGTAAAAAAGTAAAAAAAATGCAAAATTTTACGAGCCACTCTGAATTATATGCAGGAAAAAAATGTGTGAATTATACACAAGGCAAAATGTGTTAATTAATAATTAATACACTGGGCAAGGCAAAATGTGTGAATTATATACACAGGGCAAAATGTATTATGCGTTTTTGAAAGTGCTTGATGTGATTGTTTGAAGCCTTGGTCTGTAAGTGCAAGGACAGTTCAAAAGCGGCTGTTCAAAAGGGATTTTACAAATAATTTTTAATATGTTAGGTGTATAGAATACTTGAAAACAGAATTAAAACATCCTGCGAATATCAAAAAGATAATGATTTATTTCATGATAAAATTTGGTTGAAAAGGAATTTTAACATTGAACTTTACATTAGTGCGTGTATAAGAAATAGCAAATTTATCAAGTAACGTGATGACTGATAAGAGATAGGTAACGGAATTCTTTAGTCACTTGGAATATATATCCCAAACAACGCCAGGTTAACTTGTAACTGGATTGTTGTACTTACACGTACATGTTTCCCGTAGACGGGATACGATATTGTAAGTCAGAACAGCAAATATTCAAGTGTATTTAATTATTTTAATTATATCGTGCTGCCAGGTACAGGTATGGAGCTGCCTACCTGTGAAATTGACGAGAAAACCTCGCAAAGAAAACTGAGACAGTGACACATCAGTAGATAGTAATGGCTGTGAAGCCATGATAAGAGAACTTATAGATAAAAAACATTACGAAAGAAACAATGACCCTAAAATAATTACAGAAAAATCCTAATGAAGAAAACAAAATGACGACCCCGTCCAGAAAATCATCCTAAAAACCATAAGAAACTACAACCATGCAAACAATTTAATACAACCACGTCAAGAGAACAAAGATAAAACCACCTCCGGCTCGTAATTATCAATGAAGTCTTAAAGGTGGGAGATTTCATGAACTGCGATTCGCTGATTAATAAATATAAGCGCTGTACAATCACGGGAGTTCAATTTCCGGACTATAAGCGATGAAAGTATTTGTAGTGGCGTCTTTAATGTAGCGACTAGCCCCGACCTTTGACATTGAACGCAAGGTGTTCCCAAAATCGTCAGCAAAGTTTCAGTCAGATCTTTGTCAGTTGAAGACACGACCCTATGCTTGTTCCTCTTGTATTCTCTCAAGACCGCAGTTCATCTGATGATTCGGTAAAAATTTCTTTAAATGATCTCTCATTACATCTGTTAATAGAATTGTTTGTTAGTTTAGATATGTATTTAACAAAGCTCTCCTTAATCTGATATATTAATGTCCTTCATAGAACCATGATTGGCTCTTGAGACAGCTAGGGTAGGCCAAAACTCACTGACCCTTCTTATTTTTCAATATCTTTATCATTCCTTAAACTTTTATATCTTCTTATTATTTTTAATTTTCACATATTTGATTGAATTTTGGTATAGTTGGAAATTAAAGAGCAAGGAAAGCGTTGAATCTTTTATTCCGCAAAAAGAATTGGTTCGCAGAACGAAGCCAGGAGGAAACAAGAAGCACGAAGCGCGATGAGGAACTCGTGCACTGTAGTAGAAAACGTTCGCACATAAGTACAAGTTCGAACGTTATAAGTCTATAACACAATATTTAATTTCAGTTGAATGAATCACTGTTTCAGGTGAATATTTCTATCTCCAATTCTCACCATATATTGCCGGTGGCAACAAAACGTAATAAGCAAGAGTAGTTCAGCTAAAAAAAAACGGCAGAGGTGAAGACCAAAGAGAGGCGGTTGGGTGGATTCTTATCTGAATAAGACAGAAAGACAACTTAAGCCTAAAATTAATAGATTCAAGGATTTAACCGAGTGAATTTCAGTATGTTGCAATAAATTCAGAATAATGATAACAGTTTCAAATAATCAAAATTACAAACCTATTTGTTTCCGTTGAGGAACCCTAGACAGGAGTTCTCATGTAGAGAACTATTAAGAAAGAAAATAGTGAAAACAGTATAAGGAGTCTTCGCTCGTACTTAAAGAGTTAAGCGCATGCACAGCATGCAAGTTAATTCAGTGCACTAAGGCATGTGACATAATCGGTTAACACCGAAGCTCCAAGGAGCCAATAACCCAACGGGTTTCAAGCACTGGCATAAAGCCAGTTAAGCAATATCTTAAACGAGCGAAACACAGTGCTAACATGCATTAAATGGAACAAAATAAAATGAAAACACACTCGCACAAACACAAATTAAGTAACAGAAAAGCAAGATTGATCAACGGTTTGAGCAGGAGGTCTTCACTCCGGTAAGGTTAAAGCAATAGTAATTAAGATAGAGCTAACGAACGTCGACTTTGCCTCCTAACACGAGACAAACGATAAGCGTATAAACATTGAGTTAGTTAGACAATAAATGTTAACAATTCCGGAGATTAATTATGGATAAATTCAGTTCCGTACTACGTGCACAGATGTTAAAATTTTGCAATCAAAATCAAGGCTCAATAATTCAAACCCAAAGAGCTTATCGCAAGCATTTCAATGAGAGAGATGCAATCTTCAATGGAGCTAAAGGAAAATATCACTAAAAATATAAAAGAAATAAGCCAAGAAACATTGGAAAAGGTTATGGCAGAGGTAATCGAAAGAGCTGCAATTTGTGAAGCAGAAAATGTAAGGCATATTCCTAGCAAAAATTCTACAATGGGCCCATGAGGGGCCCATGTGACAATGTGGAAATGAGGTGGCATTACGGTTTCAACATATGGGGCCAACATTGATGCTATCTTACTCTGAGTGTGCATGACATTGCTATGTGGCTACAACATTGTACAAATAAGACAAAACCAGTAAAGAAATCAGTGGTGTTGGCCCATATGGTGTACATGTGGCAAACCAAGATAATACTGAAAATCCGAGTGTTGGGCTCAATTTCGATGTATTAAACAACTTAGCGAACTCAGAGACAAAACAGTTAAAGGAAAACAAATATTTTAGTTCATAAAACTTATTTTAGTCAATGACTCGAAAATTGTTAATGATCTCGTATCAAAATGCGACTATTTGTATGTATTGAACGCACATTTAAGCAATTTCATTATTAAACTTTCGTTATGAATTTCATTGAATGTTGGAATTTGGGTTTTGAGAAGTCTATTGGAATGTACGTGGGTTTTAACACATCTCTGACAATTTTTCGGCCGGACTCGCGGCCCTGCAGTCTCTCGGCCGGTCTCCAGGGAATATCTCCGAAACAAATCAACGCAGCTCGATGAAACATTGGTACAAGTACTCATCAGGACCTAACGGCGATGTTTAGCTCGTGAATCGTGAATATTTTCCCCATTTTACCTTCATTCGTGAGCATATACGGCGAAACGGGCCGAAATTTGCAGTGACCAAGAAATTTCTTCTAAACTACTGAACAGATTTGAACGAAACTCTGAATATACCTTCACAATTACCAAACGGTGATGTTTAGCTCGTGACATTTTTTCGATTTTGCTTTCACATGCGATTTTTTTCAATATCACTTTCATTCGTCAGTTATACAGCAATATACGGGCTGAAATTTCCACTGACCA